TTGTGCTCTTGCTGTGTTCCATCGCCCTGAGATATCTCATTTTGGAAGATAAACTCATTGGAGATGATTTCTCTTTTATCTTACCATGTATATATGACAGTTCCTTTAGCTCCAGAGTATAAAATGATGTAGCAGTCCCCACCGTAGAACTGTCCATAGGCCTCGGGTTGTATCGGGACTCTTCCAGTGTTTTCAACGCGCCAAATCTACCAACGTAATGAAGAATATCTTACAAAAAAAAATGTCATGAAGTTCATATGCCCAATTAGACAAATATGATTCACTTCCCCTGGTCTGTATTCTAAGGCTGTTGTTAGAAGTAGAACTGTTGCAGGTCTGTTTACAGATGCAGAAATGATGCCTGGCAGTGGGGAAAGCTTATAGAATTGTGGGGTGCATCACAAGAGGGAGCAGGAGGAAGGAGGTCCTGATTCCTCTATATAGATCTGTATAATCACTACAGGGAGCAGGAGGAAGGAGGTCCTGATTCCTCTATATAGAACTTTAGTTATCAATAGAGGGATTACCAGCAGAAGGAAGGAGGTCCTGATTCTTCTATATACTGTAGATCTTTATTATCACTAGAGGGATCCCAAGCAGGAGGAAGGAAGTCCTGATTCTCCTATATAGATCTTTAGTTATCACTAGAGGGGTCTCCAGCAGGAGGAAGGAGGTCCTGATTCCTCTATATAGATCTTTAGTTATCACTAGAGGGGTCCCAAGCAGGAGGAAGGAGGTCCTGATTCCTCTATATAGATCTTTAGTTATCACTAGAGGGGTCCCAAGCAGGAGGAAGGAAGTCCTGATTCCTCTATATAGATCTTTATTATCACTAGAGGATCCCCAGCAGGATGAAGGAGGTCCTGATTCGTCTATATAGATCTTTATTATCACGAGAGGATCCCAACAGGATGAAGGAGGTCCTGATTCGTCTATATAGATTTGTAGTGCCAAGGTTGCCTACCCCTGAAACAGACCAAAGAGATTGTCTTTGAATTTAAAGGTGATTTTAAATTATTAGCCACTGGGGTTTTTTTTTGTTACTTTGTTACTCCTTTCTTTTTTTTCTTCTTCTTTTTCTCTTTTTTTCATTTGTAAGTTTTTGTATCTTCCGGAGTGCTTTATAATGATTATATATATATTTACACACACACACACACACACACACACACACACACGCGTATATATATATATATACACACACACACACACACACACACACACACACACGCGTATATATATATATATACACACACACACACACACACACACACACACACACGCGTATATATATATATATACACACACACACACACACACACACACACACACACGCGTATATATATATATATACACACACACACACACACACACACACACACACACGCGTATATATATATATATACACACACACACACACACACACACACACACACACGCGTATATATATATATATACACACACACACACACACACACACACACACACACGCGTATATATATATATATACACACACACACACACACACACACACACACACACGCGTATATATATATATATACACACACACACACACACACACACACACACACACGCGTATATATATATATATACACACACACACACACACACACACACACACACACGCGTATATATATATATATACACACACACACACACACACACACACACACACACGCGTATATATATATATATACACACACACACACACACACACACACACACACACGCGTATATATATATATATACACACACACACACACACACACACACACACACACGCGTATATATATATATATACACACACACACACACACACACACACACACACACGCGTATATATATATATATACACACACACACACACACACACACACACACACACGCGTATATATATATATATACACACACACACACACACACACACACACACACACACACGCGTATATCTTAAATATTAGAGTTGTAAATGGAAGAAAGCATAGAAATCTTCCAATGGAGACATTTGTTCCTACTGCCTAAGAAAGCATTCCCATTGGAGAGATCTCCTATCACTTCCTGCTGTTTCATGAGACAGGAAGTGAAGGGAAACTTTCTGCAACAGGACAAAAAAAAAATAATGAAACATGAAACATAAAGGTGACAGAAATAGGCCAAGCCATCCATGGAGTTTGGCCCTTTTTTGATTCTTTTTGCTTTTTGTAACATTTTGTCATAGTATAGATGTATGTTTGTCCCAAGCATGTTTAAATTCAAATCCTATTGAACGATTCCCTACCTCTGTCTGTTCCAAACATCAACTACTCTTTCGCTAACATAATACCTTCTAAGGTTACTTTGGAAGTTTCCTCCTGCTATCCAAAACTTAAAAATGGAAAACTAAATGACATTTTTTCCTGTAATGACAAGATTACCTCGACCTTCCCGGACCCATCGTCCATCATGTTGTACTGCGCGGACATTTTCGGTGATTGGTGCAGAGTTGTGGCGTCAAACGGAGTTTGTTTTATTTTTGCGACCCTTCCGCTGGTCACCACCTTCCCGAAGCCCTGACTTTGTTCCTTGTCCTTCCAGTCCTTGAAGAATTGTTTAAACATCGGCGTCTCCCCTCCGTCAGGCAGAACGATGATCTGAATTAATTTATAAAACCAAAAATAATGAAAATTAAAGTCCTATTCAGGTCATATGGTCCTGGCATGGCCAACATCTTTCCAATGTCTGGGGTCAGCCTCATGGATTGGTGCTGTTACCTGTGTATTGGTGGAATAATTCATCTGCTTGATAAAATTTTCAGCTGTCTTCAGTGCCGTCTTCTTCTCCTCATTGTTGGACTGTTTCCCTGAAACATTCAAACTGTATTTAACACAACAATAATGTTTCCAAAAAAATCCAAAGCTTGGATCCTGCAATAGAAACAGTACTCCCCTCTCAATGGGGGCGGTGAGTCTGAACTCTGCTGTCTTCAATACAGCCTCCAAGAAAGCTTTCAGCATTCAGTACTTCCAGGAGGGCTGAATGCTTGCTTCGCACACCATGCACTGTGGATCCTTACACTTCAGTAGTAACTTAGAATTGGGCAGGAGGAACCACTGAGTGAAGTGGGGGACACAGGCATTTGATCTCCAACAATGCTAAATGCCAAAGCCTTTTCTGGAGGCTGTACTGGTTGATGACAGCAGCATGCAGACTTGACGCCCACCAGATAGGTAAGTATATACAGTGATGTCCTGTTGAGAGTTTTAAAATGATCCTGCATGAAGCAGTTTTGCTGCGTTGCTCTGCAGTTCCCCAATAATTAAGGTGAATAGAGACCTTCAATATTGTATCGCAATGCAACTGAAACTGCATGGCCACATATGTCATATCACACGCGATATTGCCGGTGTTCTCAGTCACATCTGATGTGGAATGTCCATGAACGTTGACCAAGGAAGCCAGCTAGTGTACAAATTGCTAACCTCAGAAAGAGTGGTATTAAGGTGGGATTAAAAAAAGTATAAGAAAAAAAACTTGCTTAGAGGTTTTCTACTTTAATAGAATGAAAAATTTCCCAAATTGCCACTACTACACCAAGCTATGGATCAGGAGTGGTGTCCCACATGGAATAAGCTTTTTTAAGGGGCCATAAAGTGATATTTTAGCTATGGTTGGAGCCTGGTGAGCTGAGGCACCCCCATGACATCTCTCAGATACTCCTTGCCATAATCCCCAATTCTGCTCCTGTCCACCTGGGAGTTTTGGATGTCCCTGCCCACCTTTGTGTGTTGAAGATAACGATATAAGGAACCTTCAGGTAGTTTAAATCTACCAAACTATATCTTTTTGGTGGACAGACCATTTAAAAGAACAGTAAAACTGCTTGGAGTCTACCATCACTTAAGCTCATCCACCCTTTTTGTCCACCTTGAGAAACCTCTTTGCTTTCCAATGGTCCTCCAAATTCGAACTGCCATTGTATCATTGAGTGTGCTTCCTCACATCCCACTTGTTTCAACCTTTGCCATCATTGGTTGCCAGGCAGTGAAATCATCAATGGCACTGCCACAAACATCGAGACAAGTTCAGATCACCCGCACCCCAGTTTCTTTATGTTTATACCTTGAAAAAAGGGGACCCATTGAGGCCCTGAATCATTGGTGATATTTATATTACCTTTGTTTGAGTGCTGGTGGTCTGAAGTTTTCTTGATGGATCATGACCGAATCACTTCTTACACAGGAAGCCAAGGAAATGACCAATGGGCAGCACTGGGGGCCTTAGTGCTGCTCAGTTTAAATAGTTATTTGGAAGTGTGAAAAGAAAGTGTTGGACCCGGGCGGTTATTCTGTTGGTGTCTCTCATCAAACAGCAGTAAAGTAATGTTGAATATGGGTGACTTGGCTAACAGCTAGGCAGCTTCCACAGCCCTAAATAACCCCACAGTATCCATGGCTTGACAGTGAACACAGATGTAGGAATTAAAGTGCCAGAACATTTAAAATAAGGATCAGGGGGACATTCAAGTAGAGTAGCTAACACTTTTCGGGGGTCCAGAACACACCCCCTTCATTAAAGTGACTCTAAACTCAGGAGTTAAATCTTAAAAATACATTCAAGTCCCTGAACTACTAACAACAAAATTATCACCATCTTTTTATTCTACCGGGCCTGCGCTTTCAGAAAATATATGGTTTGGGGGGTCTTTTACAAACGCTAGCAACGCAGCAGTTGAAAATCAAATCAATAGGAAAAAATTGCAGAAAATTCAAAAATGGCTTGGCCAGCTGATTTGAAAAATTTTCCGGAGGGCTTGGCAGCGAAAGGGTTAATCATTTGTATTGAGATTGTAGTTCATCACAGAAGCGAGTCTGGAGAGGTGGGAGTACTTCAGGCTTGTCAACAGTTGGTTTGGCTGCCAAATGCATTGGCTACTCTACGTTAATGTCCTGCTGACCCCAATGGAATAACATTGTATTTGGAACGTTTTAATGGGTGTGGTTTCTGGACACAAATATCATCCCCGTTTTGGTCATTTATGTAATAATAAATAAAATAGTGACCTTTCCAGACAAAGACCATGTCTCCACCATCTAGAATGAAGCATTCCTCTGTCAGAAGCATGGACATGGAGAAGGGGCTCTCTTGTGAGACCTCTGTTATCTTCATGGATCCACTTGCATCGGAAACCTGAGGAAATTGGGACCAAATGAAGGTTGAGGGCTTTGATTGACAACGTGATCATGGTATAGATTCAAACTACCTTCCTACCCCCTCGGCAGCCTCTCTTCCCATCCCTAGTGTAGTATAGCATGTCTGGTAGTCACATAGTACATCACATCAGTCCTATAGAAAAGACAACTGAGGAGAAATAAAGAGCTGAGGGATTTGGTTCTAAAAAAGGGACTACACATCTTTGTGTTTGTGGTGGTGGAGGTGGAGGTTGTGGTGGAAGTGGAGGTTTTAGTGGAGGTTGTAGTGGTGGTGGAAGTGGAGGTGGTGGTGGTGGAGGAGGTGGTGGTGGAGATGGAGGGTGTGGTGGAGGTGGTGATGGTGGTGGAGGTTTTAGTGGAGGTGGTAGTGGTGGTGGAAGTGGAGGTGGTGGTGGTGGTGGAGATGGAGGGTGTGGTGGAGGTGGTGGAGGTGGTGGTGGAGGTGGTGGTGGAGGTTTTAGTGGAGGTGGTAGTGGTGGTGGTAGTGGTGGTGGAGGTGGTGGTGGAGGTGGAGGTGGAGGTGGTGGTGGTGCTGGGGGGGTTAGATGGTGATGGGACCCTGCAAATCCCCCTCTCATCTCACCATATGCAGTTTGGCCTTCTTCCTGTTGCTGGCATCTGCCACATGATCTGTGTCGTCATCCCCTTGACGCAGCTTGGGTTTTGCACCTAAAATCTTCAGCATACATAAAACAAATGACATTGTAAATAAATTAAACTGGAAAATGACAGACCTGCTGACTTTCAGAGGTGGAGCCTCTGAAAGAGCGAAAATATTTAGCACCACAAAATTCTGGCATAAGAGACTTCTTTAAAGTGTTGGCAATAGCCATCGTTTTGGATAAAGTAGGGAAGGGCCAAAACCTCTGCCAGGTCTGTGTACCATTGGGGAACTTTCCCTTCACTTCCTGTCCCAGCGATGTAACAGGAAGTGGGAAGAAATCTCCCTAAGTGAAGAGAATTCCCATCTTGGACAGCTGTCACCAGAACAGATGACCCTATTGGAAGAGTAGTGATCACCAGTACAAACAGATCACTACTCCAATGGCGACAATATAAATTCAACAGGGGGGTCTAAGCTTTCCACACTCTATCCAAAACTAAAAAACTTATAGAAAATGTATATTTGTATAATTTCTAAACTCAGAACCAAAAACATAAATAATGCTTTCAAATTAGGCCGCACAGCATTACAACTATACAAGTAAATGCAAAATACTGATTGATAAATACAACCCTAACCCATAAAACACGTAACAATCTCCCACATACACATGACGCCGTGTAGAATACATTTATGTACACAGAATTTATATGTATGCAGAGATTAAGGCCTTGTTCACACCACATGCAGAGCATATCCGGTCAGGTTTCTGCACAAGCAGTGCAGTGGGTTGTGCCGCGTTTTTGATGCGTTTTTGCCGCGTTTTTATGCCTTCCTGGGCCGTTTTTGGTTAAAAAATATATTTTTTTAAAGTTTAACATGGGCTTTCAGGCACTTGCATGCGTTTTTTATGCGTTTTTGCGTTTTGCATGCGTTTTAAATGCATTCCAGAGCAGATCCAGAGCAGGTAAAATAGGGCTTGCCGCAGTTTTTTCACCTGCTCTGGATCTGCTCTGGATCTGCAGGCTGCGATGTGAACTGGAGCTCAAAATACCATAGGAATACATTGGACGCAGTTTTGATCCGGTCTGCACCTGCTCTGCTCTGGATCTGCTCCGCGCTTGGTGTGAACAAGCCCTAATCTCTCCCGCGGACCCGGGAATCTCTCCTGTGACTCTGGGTTTCCCCATCTGAGGTAGACCCGGATCTATCAAATGACACCGCATATAAAGTGCAAACATAGACTGTATAATACATAAACAATACCTAGTCAACACCCACGTGACTATAATAAATATAATCTCAGATGCATCCATTATAAATAACATAATAATATAGAAAAAGTGATGGGAATGTGTAAATAAAACATGTAAATTGATTGATTGATGTTATACTTTTTTTTGCATTTTAACATTAAGGTTGCGCAATGACAAATGTAAACACTAGATGGCCTCAGAGCAGCACATTGTCTATTATTTATACTGTATTCTTTTATTGTAGTTGTGCTCCTTGACCACTAGAGGACCTCAGAGGAGCACATTTTGTATTACAGTAAACGCCCCATTATCCACGGGGATTGGTAGATTCCGGATAAATGTTTCTGGTTGCTTGAGAGTTACTGTTAAAAATAAGTCTAACTAATGCCATACCCCATAATATACCATACCATAAACTCTGTATTGATTTCATATTAATATTGAAATGCAGTAATCAAAAGCAAATTAAGACAAATAGACACACTTAAAACAAATTAAGACAAATAGACACACGATTGTTTCCAGGACAATACGTGCCGCAGATCAGCAGAGCAGTGAGTAGTACACAGGGGATTTTTATTTTGTGGTTAGATGAGAGTTCTCGTTAGTTAAATACCAGATAACTGAGAGTTTACTGTATTTATACTGTACTCTTTTATTGTAGTTGTGCTCTTTGACCACCAGAGGGCACCAGAACCGCACATTTTCTATTATTTATACTGTACTCTTGTATGTCTGTGAGGGGTCTCATTCATCCAGGTCATGGTATAGCTGTAAAAAATAAGTCAAGGCAACTGGATGTGCTGTATTTTTCCTGAAGACTTTTTACTGGCCATCCGATCAGCTAAGACAGTCAAATATGCACCCTAGACAGTGTTTAAAAGAGGTGTGTATTAACCAGTTGACATCCGCGGTGTTAAACCCCCTTCCCATCCAGGCCATTTTTCAGTATTCAGCGCTGCGGTACTTTAACTGACATTTATTCCGTCATGCAGCGCTGTACTGAAATGAATTTTATACCCTTTTTTGGGGACAGATAGAGCTTTCTTTTGGTGGTATTTATTCACCACTGGGGGTTTTATTTTTTTACTATATTAAGGAAAAATTACCGAAATTAAAAAAAAAAAAACAGTTTCCCCTATATTAAATGATAAAACATTTATTATTACCCAATTTTTTGGTAAAATATAAAAGATGGGGTCACGTCGGGTAAAAAGACACTAAACATGTCAAGCCTTAAAATTGCGTGC